GGCTTAAGGAGCTGGGCATGTTTAGCCTGAAGAAGAGAAGGCTGAGAGGAGATATGATGAGGGCCATGTATAAATATGTGCGGGGAAGTCATAGAGAGGAGGGAGCAACCATATTTTCTGCTGCCCTGGAGACTAGGACATGGAACAATGGCTTCAAACTACAGGAAAGGAGATTCGGTCTTTAAACAGAGGCTGGATGGCCAACTGTCAGGGGTACTTTGAATGCAATTTTCCTGCTTCTTGACAGGGGATTGGACTGGATGACACACAAGGTCTCTTCCAACTCAATGATTCTAAGGGTTTAACTCTCATTAGACTGCTCATTGGAGGGAAGGATAGTAGAGGCAAAGATGAAGTACTTCAGCCACATCAGGAGAAAGGAAAAGACAATGATGCTGGGGAAAATGGAAGGAAAAAGGAAGAGGGGCCGACCAAGGGCAAGATGGATGGATGTTATCCTTGAAGTGACTGGATTAAGCTTGAAGGATCTGGGGATGGTGATGGCTGACAGGAAGCTCTGCCGTGGGCTGGTCCATGAAGTCACGAAGAGTCGGAAACAGTTGAATGAATGAACAACAACCACAACAAGGGTTTCACCCATTGCGCCACCGGGCGCTCCTATTATTGTATATAATGGGACTTAAGCATCTATGGATCTGAAGGTCCTAGAACCTAGAACCAAACCCTAGTGGATATCTAAGGCCTGCTGTATAGACGTCATTCCACATTTATGGTTTGGACTTTTGTGAATTTGATTATTCATGGATCAGATTAAATATGTTGTTTCTAGGAATGTCTTAAGTTCTCTAGTGTGACTCTATAGTCAACTTTATCTAGAGTAGGCATGGGCAACCTTTGTCCCTCCAGGTGTTTTGGACTTCAACTCCCACAATTCCTAACAGCTAATAGGAATTGTGGGAGTTGAAGTCCAAACCATCTGGAGAGACAAAGGTTGCCCGTGCCTGCTTTAGAGAGAGCACCCCAATGTGTGTGTTCAGCTTGGATATTGACCATAGAATCATGCTGAAAAACCTAGAAATTTCAGAGGTGTGACCTTGGGTTTAAAAAAAGTCTTGGGGGGGGGGGGGATATTTCACTTTGACATGACTTGTGCTTCAAGATGACGGTACTAGAATTCTTCCCTTTCTGCATCATTACTGACATCCTCCCATTCTTATTTGCTAAGATCACGACAGCATAAAGTGATGCTCTTACCCCGCAGACATTTGTTAAAAAATACAGTGCATGAACCAGACACTCTCAGACTTTACATACAAAAACATTGTTTGCTTACATAGAGAGCAGGGCTATAATTATTCTCTGCCTGCATTATGTATCAAGGTCAAAACTCAGTGATTCAGACCATTGTTTAGGGATTGAAAGGGAGTTGGTTTTCTGCAAGAGCTGCAGACAGCTACTGAAGTAACAGTGTTAGCTACCTCCCCCACCCCTCCCCAATTTTGTTTTAAACCGGCTCCCATTCAACCATGCTAGGGAAGCTGGCAGCTCAGTTAAAGATGACATATGACCCAAACAGCCCTTCTATTTTCAGTGGGCAGAAGTGAATATCCAGTTATGTCACAGGTTGGGAAAGTCCAGAATCTTGGCCACAAGGGACCCACTGATCCCATTTTTCTGTCCAGCACCAGTTCCCCAAAGCCAGGTATGGGCAAACTTCAGCCCTCCAGGTGTTTTGGACTTCACCTCCCACAATACCTAACAGGTAGGTTGTTAGGAATTGTGGGAGTTGAAGTCCAAAACACCTGGAGGGCCAAAGTTTGCCCATGCTTGCCCAAAGCCCAACAATTCTCCCCATTTTCTATTGTTGAAACTATACAAAATACATGAAAAATGAGCAAGATAACAGAATGTTCCAACATTCCTGGATGAAACTGGCTGTTTTGATCCATGTTGGTTTCAGAACTGCTTATGGAATAGAGAGAATGTTGGTTGAATTGATGGACAAACTTATACCAGGGCATAGACCAGCCCTGGTATAACCAAACCCATTTCTAGAGTTGACCAAAAACTGATTTGTAACCTGCAAAGAGGCCACCAATTTGTAACGATGCCACCAATTTGTAAAAGTTTGTAAAGGAGTCACCACTTCGTAAGGACTTATTAAATTGATAACACAACTAATAACTTGTAATGTTGATTTGTGCTTTCTTCAATGTGTAGCATGGCTTAACTTGAAAGTATTTGTAACAGAGACTTGGCTTTAGAAGAAACTGTAACAAGTTTATTGAAGTATAAAAGAAGCTTGACGGTTTCAATGTTTCTTAACTCTTAGAGGCACATTTCTTCAGAGGTTACATTTATAACATTTCCTAAAACAACTCTTAAGAGGACTGTTCCTTTCATTAAACAGATTTTAAACTTGTTTTCCTTCAAAATATGTTTCTTTCTTTAACAGATTGCTTCAGGTACAAGCTTATTCTTTCCTTATGTTATTTCTGTTGCAGTAAAGATTCTTATTAGGGTTCTCTCCCCCTTTTGCTGATATACTGACCACTAATCTTAATAAGTCAACTCAACCTATCTAAACTACACAGGCTAAAAGCCCAAACCTTCCTGATTCTCAACACAGTAGAATCAGCCTTTTCCTGTAGTTCTTAGACTACAGACTACCTTACTGGTTCACAACACACAACAGAACCAGCCTCCCCTGTAGTTCGTTGACTATAGACTGTTTTAAAATGGCTGCCCTGCCAAGTGGCAGTGGGCTCCACCCCTTTTTCCATGGCAACCCAGCTCAAAGTGAGCTAAGCTGGCTACCATTCCCCCAGTTATGCTATTCTATATACTTACCCTTTTAAGCATCTATCTATTATTATATATAACTGTAGATTAAAATTCACACTTCACCACATAACCCTTTTGGTACTAATGTTGAAGAGTGTTTCCTGGTCAAAGTGGTTCCTGGTCAAGTGGTCCCTGGTCAAAAGAAAAAGTTGGGAACCACTGTTCTAGGACAAGATTCTGCTCACTTTTCTCCTCTTCCCTTCAGAGTTACTGGAGTGCAAACTATTTTGCACTTCAAGCTCAGTTTGCAGCAACCAAAGGAAGCCAAGAACCAGGGGGACAGTGCGAGAAGGAGAATGAAACTGGGACTTTTTAGAAGTGGCTGAAAATGTGAGACAACGGAGGATTAATCGGGACTATCTCTGTCCAATCAGGACAGTTGGAGGATATGGGAAGCAGTTTGGGTCCTTTTTAAGTATCCACACTTATGGCATCACAAACATTGCCTCTTCTTTGTCTCACATTTTGAGTCTGAAATCTTGGGAAATTGGAAACTCTTGACCTGGGAGTCTGAAACAATGCTGGCTATCAAGAGATAGAGCAACACAAAAGTGGGAAAGGAAGCAAGGGGTTTACATGCTTGAAGTTTACAGGCCATGGGTTGTGCATCCCTGGATGAAGATAATATTTAGTATGGAAGAATGGCCTCCTTTTTTCCCTTTCCTTTTCTTTTTGCACAATAATGCTTCAATGCATCTTAAATGGAGTCCTTTCTTCCAAGGATATTTTCACTTTGCATATCGTTCTAGAGATAACAGGCTCAGCCTTTTGTTTATTTGTTTTTGTTTTACTTTTTGTATTCTGTCTGACTGTCAGAAAAGAGAGAGCAAATGGAGGGAAAAGACAATGTGTTTTGCCTTTTAAGAGTTGGAACATTAGAATATCTTTGAAAATGAGTTCAAAATTCAGGGCCATTTTATAATATAGTGTGAGAGAGAAAGAGTGGGAGGGAAGTAGATGCTTTTCCATTCAACATCTTTGGCATATTTTCCTCTTTATATTTGGAGCTGTCAGCTTTTACTTTCTTTGCTCTAACCCAGGCATGGGCCAATTTGGCCCTTTAGGTGTTTTGGACTTCAACTCCCACAATTCTTAACAGCCCACCTCTGAGGATGCCTGCCATAGATGTGGGTGCAACATCAGGAGAGAATGCTTCTGGAACATGGCCATACAGCCCGGAAAACTCACAGCAACCCAGTGATTCCGGCCATGAAAGCCTCCAACAACACGTTACATGTATTGCATTATACAGTCTATGCTTTGGGCAAATTTCATCTAGTGTCTACCAACCTCTGAATTTTTTGATTGCAAAACCCATTGCTTAATCCGCTTTTTCAAGAATAAAGTTGCAAGCCAATTAAAAGCTTTGAGCTGCCCAAAATGCCTTGCCACGCAGCCACTTAATTGCTTACTCATCCAATTAAAATAAATAGAAGAACACAGTGACGCAGGGAAGATCTTGGGGCTGGCTGATGGAAATGATAGCTTTCTCCTGCTACAAGGAGCACCTGCGATTTGTTGCCTACATGAAAGGATGTAAATGGACTACCGATAATAATAGCAACACCGTCAGCACACTTTCACTGGGGATTTTATTAAAACTGGATTTCAAAATCCACATTTTAATCTGTGTTGAATAGATTAACGGCACCGTTTAACTGACTAATGCTTTTAGCGTTGGAAATGTTCCACCCATATCCGAAGGAGTGCATCAAAAGTGAGCTTCTTAACACCCCCGTTTGAGAGAACCCATTATAGCAGCTGCACATCTTTAATTGTCACATTCTTCCTTGCCTTTCCTCAAAGGAACTTTGTGCAGCAGACATTGGTTAGTTCCTTCGATAAAGCAGGAGTAGGAGTTGTCTGGTTGTTGGACAGAAATTCTCAGAAGCCCTGGCCATGGTGAGGAAAACAGGGTGATGCAGTCCCACAACATTTTGATTTCCATCTCTATAGTAATTCAGACTGGGAAAGGATGTCTTTTCTAAGCCTACAATGGGTTACATGACCCAGCAGGGATTCTCAAAGGAAAAAAGTAGGAGGAGGGGAGAGAAACTGGGACATTTTAAGAGCTACTGAGAAACTATGACAGCAGAGGATTAACTGGAACTAAACTTGCTCTGGACATCCTGAAGGACTGATGCGGCACAAAATTGAGTTGACTTTGTCAAACTTTTTTTGGCTCGTTTCTATAGGTACCTTTCTTGTGACGAGTGAGACATGAGATCTTCAGCTTCCAGGCTCTCCAGCTTTTCCTCAAGGGATTCACTATGGAATCGGTAAGAAAGCAATGAGACCATTATTTTTTTATGTCTGCTAACATTGCAAATGTGCTTTCTGAGGAGTCTCTGGTGTGTTGTTGAAAACTATCAGGGAGGAGGGAGAAAGCTTGTTTTCTGCTGCCCTGGAACTAGGACACGGAACAATGGCTTCAAACTACAGGAATGAGATTCCACCTGAACATGAGGAAGAACTTCCTGATTGTAAGGAGAGTTGTTCAGCAGTGGAACTCCCTGCCCCGGAATGTGGTGGAGGCTTCTTTGGAGGCTTTTAAACTGAGGTTGGATAGCCATCTGGAGGGGGTGCTTTGAATGTGCTTTTCCTGCTTCTTGGCAGAATGGGGTTGGACTGAATGGCCCACAGAATCTCTTCCAACTCAAGCATTCTATGATTCTATGATCAGATTGACATGTGCTAAGGTTCAGGGACTTTTTGGGAGTGGTCACTCATCTTTGAACTCTCCTTACCTTGAGAACTGCATTGACCCCAATTAACTTTTAAACATTTCCTGTCATACAATTGAACCAATCCATGGATAGGAAGGAGTCATTGGTTGTTGGRTCAATATGGAAACAATTGCTCACCTTGATTTATGCACCTCCCCCCCCCCCCCCGTAAGAACAGCCCATAGGGTTAATTTAATTTTTGAAAATTGCCATCATGCTTTTTCAGAATACAGTTCATGCCAGCCACTTTTGGGAATGCTTGGGTGTGGAGGAGGGAGGCAGTGATGGTAGCTTAGAGAGTACATTCAATCCCACCCTCCTTCCCCTTTCAGTCTTGCAGAGTGGCCCACAGCGGGGTGCACATTCTTATTGTTTGTTCACGCTGTGAATGGCAGGTGCCCAAGTGCTGTTCTGAAGTCTGTTGTGTACTTTACAAAAACACTAAAGCTGCAGCCGGTTTGACATAGACATCCTGAGCTGATCCCCACAACACTTTGTGAGCAAATAAAAGGGGGAGATAAAAAGGAGGAGGAGAGCCCCTAAGGATGACATTGCAACCCTGCTACATTCAAATACAAAGTTAAGATTTTGAGGTCAAGGCATTGTGAGAGATAGCTGGCAAAGAAATGTAAGGTCAGCAATTCCTAACTTTACTGTCAAGACCACAAGGCTTAATTCTGGTTGCTTGGGACAGTCCAAGGAACAATGTGTCGTAAAGTGATGTCCATATTAAGCAGTCAGAGAAGGAAGGAGCATCTTTAGCCTCAGTTAAAATGTGACAGACTATGACCCCTTTTATCCTTACCGGTACCACTTGGGGATGATGAGGTTTGTAGTTTGGACTGTAATTGTAATTTTTGACTGTGCAGGATTCATCTATTATTTCATTTATTCTACCTAGAGGTCACAATTTAGCCACAGTCCTTAGAGTGATTGGTTTTAGAGATTCAAGTATTCATGAATTTACTTAAAATATTCTCTCTGGTGATCTCAAGGACCTCCTGTGCAATTATGTGGTTAGCTTCCAGTGGACATTGACTCATATCTGCATTATATGAGTCAATATTGACCATATAATGCAGTTTCAAACTGCAGTATAGGGCAGTATAGACGAGGCCTAAGAAACCTCTAGATTTCTATAGCTCTTTTACCATTTTATGAGTAGAGATTGGTTGGCTTTACCCAAGCTTACCCAGCTTCTCGCTTTGCAGAGACATAAATTGTTACAGTAAGTTGTAGCAGGATCGTGTGTGTGTGTGTTGAAGAAAAACCTTATGATAATTATTATGTGCAGCTGGTAATGTAGGTCAACCAGCAATCTTGGACCACACCCGATAGGGTTAACTATATGGGTTTTTAGAATACAGTTCTGGAGAGCTTTTTCTCTGAGGAGATCTATGCTTAAAGGCTCTGCTCTGAGGAGCAGGTTGGAGAGAAGCCGTTATGCTGCTCTAAAGGAGGCTATGGTGAAATAGCTGTTTGCTCAAGGTTTATGTTGTGCTTTCTCATTTGATTTAAGATGAAGATGCCTTATTTTGTGTTACTTACAGAAACTATGTAAGTTTCTTGCACTGTTTGTTTTTTGTATGCAACATTGCAAGTTTGTATTTCATCTCTGCTATTAAAAGTAAAGATTTTTTCTGTTCATTTCTACTCTTGTCTGTGAGTCTTGTGCATGGGACATGGCTAAGATCTGCTTGTTGCACAACATAAATGGCCCTGACCCATCCATTTAGGGAGAATATTTCCTCTCCAGCAATAGAATTAATCTGACTAATTCTGGTTAGAGAAGCTGCCCGCCAACAGTAGCTCTGTCTTGTCTGGACTAAGCTTCAGTTTGCTGGAAGGCATAACTTCAGCTCTCTTGGCCTTACTTTGGAAGGATATCAGAACTAAACCAATGCATCTGGTGTCCAAGACATGAGTGCCTCCTGCTAAGGTCCCCAAACGTCTGCCTTTGGTAGCCAAGCAAAGCAAAGCAAACAAGGCCATTAACTGGTGATCCATTTCTTGGTATGTGTATTTTGGAGATTTTCCTGGATACAGATGGGACATAAATGAGACTGAAAATATTGAAATATTTGCAATATGGCAGGATGAGCTGTCTCAGTGTGTTCTTCTCCCTGCAGAATCCTCATGTATCAGCTGCTGAACTGCCTGCCAATTATTACAATCTTCTAGAATTTCTCATTTTGAACAGTTGGAGAAAAACCATTACTTGCATCTCTTTCTCCTCCCTTCCCTCCCTTCCTCCTTCCCTCTCTCTATTAATTAAAAAGAATGAGCAACAGAGGCTAGGGAGAATGTTAATTAAAATATTCATTAACTAATTCCCTGTGCTAATATGGTTACAACTGATAGTTGCTACTAAACCTTGGTGCTAATATTTATATAAAGATGCAATTTCAAAGCTTGGCTGTGTTCCTTTTTTTTTTAACTAGAACATCCCAAAGTCCTTCTGTCTGCAAGAGAAGTTGCCATGCCAATTGGGGGTTATTCTGGTAATTGAAGTCTACAAAAAGAACTTTTCTAAGCTATAAGGTTCCTCTGTCCCATCCAAAAGACAAAACAGGACTCAAAAAGGAGGTTCCAGGGGCAATTTCATAAAAAAAATTGAGAAACAGATGTTCTGGAGCGAGTGGCGGCTTCTCAGCTCCAGGGATTCTTGGATGAGCCCGATTATCTTGATCCATCACAGTCTGGTTTTAGGCCTGGTTACAATACGGAGACGGCTTTGGTCGCCTTGGTGGATGACCTCCACAGAGAGCTGGACAAGAGTGGGATGTCCTTGTTGATTCTCTGAAATCTCAGCGGCTTTCAATACCATTGACCATGGTATCCTTCTGGGGCGGCTCCCTGGAATGTGTACTGGGGGCATTGCTTTGCAGTGGCTCTGCTCCTTCCTGGAGGATCGCACCCAGCTGGTGAAGCTGGGGGACACCTGCTCAAACCCATGGCCATTGACCTGTGGTGTCCCACAAGGTTCCATTCTATCTATCCTCCATGCTTTTTAACATCTACATGAAACTGCTGGGTGAGGTCATCTAGAGTTTTGGAGTTCGGTGCCATCTGTATGCAGATGACACTCAACTCTATTACTCCTTTCCACTGAATTCCAAGGAAGCCCCACAAGTTCATGGATGAGTGCCTAGTTGCTGTGATGGACTGGATGAGGACTAACAAGTTGAAGATTAATCCAGACAAGACTGAAGTCCTCCGGGTCAGTCGCAAGGCTGATTGGGGTATAGAGTGGCAACCTGTGCTCGATGGGGATACACTCCCTCTGAGGACACAGGCCCGCAGTCTGGGGGTTCTCCTGGATTCACTGCAGATGCTTGATGCTCAGGTGTCAGTGGTGGTCCAGAAGGCCTTTGCACAGTTAAAGCTTGTGTGCCAGCTGCGACCATACCTAGAGAAGCCTGACTTGCCCATGAGAACTACATTAACCCCAATTAACTTTTAAACGTTACCACCCCCCACCTCCCTCTACCTGGCACACAACTGAACATAATGAGAAGTTCAATCCATAGATAGGACGGGGTCATTGGTTGTTGGCTCAATGGAATGACCCTTATCCATAATTTTGGCCTCAATCTGCCCTCAATTTATATATTAGGCCAACTTATACGTTAGTATATACAAGGTATGGACAAACTTCAGCCCTCCAGGTTGCTAGAAGTTGGTAGGCTGTTAGCAATTGTGGGAGTTGAAGTCCAAAACACCTGAAGGGCTGAAGTTTGCCCATGTCTGGTATATATGGTAGTTAGTCATTGTGACCACATTCTGATGTTGCTTGGTCACATGTTTCTCAGTTTTCAGCTGTGTGTAGGGTTTGTGAAAACTGTGAAGGGCAGAGTGTGGTCCACAAATTCTGCCATAAATATCAGCCATGTTTTGGCAAAGTTGTTCATCTCAAAAGATAATGAATTCATACCTAATTTTGCACTTTCAGACTAATGCACAAACTAACATGTATTCAGCCTTTGATATCCCCAGGACAATAATTTCCTTAAGGCTGAATTACAGCCCAGAGTTTGGAAGGAACAAGGGTGAGACAAAACCACATTTAAAAATTAACATAATGGATAGGAGGAAAATTATTTTGCTGGTTTAATGGGCAACTGGTTTAAGTTGCTTTCAAATGTTCCTATTTAAAGGTCCCTTTTTGTAAATATTTTGACAGGAATTTTCAAAATGTTATGCTTCTCAGTCCTTAGGTCTTAGAGGCTGAGGACTGTGGCTTCCTTGACTTAGTCTATCTATCTGGAATGCAGTGTTCCTCTTTTCCTATTACCTTCCACTGTGACAGGCATTATTGCCTTTTCTAATGAGTTATGTCTTCTCATGGTATGGCCAAATTATGATAGTCTCATGTTAGGCATGTTGGCCTCCAGGATTTGCTCTTGGACTCATTTACAGGCAGTCCCCAAGTTAGGAACAAGATAGGTTTTGTATTTTTATTTTTAACTTGAATTTGTTTGTAAGTCAGAACAGGTACATTTGTAAGTGTAAGTCCATATATATATATATATATATATATATATATATATATG